GTTTAAGTCCTCGAACAGGAACCAGTGGCTTCTGATGTCCACCTGAAACAGTTATCGTGTGTAGACGCGCTCGGGGGTGTATTCCGATTAATTGAAGACAACAGTGAGATACCAATGAAACGACAAGGCGATACAAATAAAAGAACAAGGCGATACTAATAAAAGGACAAAAGTGATACCAATGTTACTTTGGTTTTAAAAGATATATCAATTCATTTTTAAAAAAAAAAATAAAAAAAAATAAGCAAGAACAAAAAACAACAAAATACAAGAACAAGATTTCACTTTTTTAAATATTTTTTTAAAATTTAAACTTTGATTTAGGTCGACATGACTTCATGACCTACATAATCTGACTGCATTAACCTAGTGGCTAAATAAAGTTTATTTTGTTGTTGTTTTTTTTTTTTTTTTCTTTTTCATTTTAGATGGATATCCCTAATAGGTAAATTAAATATATCAAGAAGACAATGCTGCGATACTCTTCGCCAGTGGATTATGAGAAATATGATGAAATAGTACCTTTTCTATATAACTCACCATATATATATACTTAAATATACTTCTTGTATAAATACAAATATATATATAAAGTATAAGAACAGTGAACGCAATGTGAACACTCACTCTGATTGGTTCCGTCGACCACGTGATCATCACAAAGGTCATGGCATGCACCTCCCTAGGCTCATCTTGAAAATAAAATACCGGTGACGTCACTACAAACTCTTTCCCCATCGAACTGAAGCCCGCTGAAGGTAAAATTGATGTTGTATAGATTAGCAATGCATTATGGGTAAAGGTGTGATTACCAAAGTCTTAAGGGGGTCTACTGGGTGGAACGTGTGGCCCAGGTGAAATCGCTACCAGGTACATCGTGGCTCAGTGTGACCAGGTAAATGGTGGCTCAATGTAAAATGGTGGCTCAATGTGAGAGGAATTTACGGCTGCAAACCCAATGAAAAAACTTCATTCCCCATCGAAGTGATGGAGTTGAATCCACACCAATGACCAAGTCAAGCGCACTCAAACGCCAGCACCAAGGGTGGATGCGATCCGTTAACCTTGGAAGGCAGCCCATCTAAGAGAAGGAAACTCTGAATCAAAAACACCCAGAGAAGGAGTCCCGGAGGCGGATACATAAACACAATGAAAAAATTCCTACAACTCTTGCAACGCCACTGGTGCCAAGCTGTATCATTCAAGGATGGTGCTCCCTGGGGCTATCCAGGTGCGTGGAGAGAGGCGATTTGCTGTCTAGCGAACCAGCTTTTTGTCCAAAAGAAAAAAAAAATCCGAGACCTTGTGATTTCGCTCTGCGAAGTCCACACCATCGTCATATTGTGACGGACAGATGCCAGTAAAATATTTTTTTTTTTAAATATGTCTGTATATACTAGGGGTCGGAAACAGTTTTCGTGCCGAGGAGCCACTTCTACATATTATAGGAACATTTTGTCTGCCAAGAAAATCTTTGTGGCAGACACAAATCATTAAATATTCTTTTGTAAAAATATTTAAAAAAACGCCGCGTTATTCCTTGAATACCCGGATGCTGACTCCTGACCTAGCACGATCAAAGCCCCCCTCCCCCACCTCCCCCCTTATAATTCTGAAAATTGCACGTGTCCGTTTCATATTCTGTTTCACTTCAATTCAAATGGTCAACGATTGAGCTTTGACTCTAAAAGAACATTATATTTACAAGCAAGCCTAACAATTTATAACAACATTTCTTTTATACAATTATCTTTTATACAGAATTTATTACTATTATCATTTACCTTAAACAAACCTTGTAAACCTTATCGTAAACCTTATTATATATTCACACTTCAATTAACAGTGTATAGTTATCCAAAACCTATCCTGTATCCAGTATCCAACACCTATCCAGTATCCGGTAGCAGACACCAATGTTCCCTCTAAGGTTTGTTGGTTCGTGTGCAAAAAATCATACAGTTGTGTGCAAAATTTTACAGCATCCATTTTTTATCTGTGCAAAATTTTACAGCCCACAAACACTCACTTATATGGAAATTTGCTGCGCGGTACTCGCAACTGCTGTGCGGCGTCTGTGAGATAGCTGCGCGGCTGCAGCTGCGCAGCTTATAGGGAACATTGCCCAAGACCCACCCAGACGGTCCAACTCAACACAGTTTATCTAAAGTCCTCGCTCAGCCCTCGTACATCTGCAGATTTCTCACTGCGTATGTGCGGCCTCAATGTCTGTAGACCTACTCACCCGATATTCTGATGTGGAACACCACGAGTAGAAACGTGTCTGTGGGTCTCACCATTGTGGTCGGCGATGGTGTGTGTGTGATTCTTGCTCACTGTGCAGCAGAACTCCGTCTCAGTGGTCGGTCTCGTAGCTATTCAGATCTGTGCTGCTTAGAGCTCAATGAAACTAACATAAATTATAACAAAGATCATTCTTTATGGCCAGTCTCGCAGCTATTCAGATCCACACTGCTTAGGCTTAGAGCAAGCACAGTGATACTCATCTAAATCAAGCAACATTCCTTCTCAATGGTTAGTCTCTGTAGTATCTATATAGCTCTATATTAGATCTATACTTCTCGGAGCATAGTGAGCCTCATCTAAATATAACACAACAAAATTTTACTTTTTAAAAATTCAAGAAATATAATTTATTTGAAAACGACTAATTTTTTTGTTTTTTTTTTAATGCTATTAAATCGAAACTTGCTATGCATTCAGTTTGCTATTGCCATGTGTATCAGAAATGTGATGAATCATGCAAGAATAAAAAAAGTAATGCATTAAAAATGCACCCCCCCCCCCAAAACCACGTAAAATAATTTCGCAGCACACTAAAAAGCCATTCAAAAATACTATACGTATATTTAAAAAAAAACAACAACAATAAATTGGGATATACCTGCACGTTAGGTTCCAACAAAAGTTGATTGAACAATTGGTATACAAACTCTTATTTTACAATAGAACTCTGCGAATTTTTTTGAAATCTAAACGAATTCGTAATTTTTACGAAACAAGCCATCTAAGACAAATTTTCAGAGTGTGTAAAATACAAGAGGAAAAACTTGAAGAAAACAAACAAACAAACATCCTAAATGGAAGAGAAATTGCGATTCTCGTTCTAAAACTTCCGGTTGATGCTAGAAGGCGCGCACCACTTTAATATCGGGAAGTTTAATCTTTTATGTCATCGAGGTGCATAATCTTCTTTGCGAGAAATTAATAGAGGGAGAAGAATGTGAGCATACAATGAGCATGCCATTTTGAAAAACACCATTCTAGTGCAATGTTAGCTTGTGTTGTGCTATTCGTCCGTCGAAATCGACTAGGACCATCACGTCATCCGGTTAGGGGGTGGGGGTGGGTTATGGTGAGCTCGAAGGTGGCTTGCTAGTCGGATCCGTGCTCGGAATCATCTCTGGCACCGCGGGCAGGGGATAGTTGCTGCAGTCGGTGATCTAATATTGCTCTTTCGGGCTAGTCCTGCGTGTCTCAGCTGTGGTTATCCTACTGGCTCCATGAGATTTAGCCCCACTTCGTGACAGCTGCTCTCCACCTGGCTCTGTCCTGGGCTGTCTGCACCCATTCAGTTGGCTTGATGCTGAACGCCTTTAGTGCAGCTTTCAGAGTATCCTTGTAACGCTTTCTTTGACCTCCTCGGGAGCGCTTGTAATTAGTTATCAAAGATTTGTTAGTGGGATTCTTGTATGCACTTTTGACTGGTACACCTTTAAGTATCCTGTAGTTTAGGTCTTTAAATCCTTTATAGTAACTTCCCTTTTTTTGTTTGTGGGGGTGGCAATGTGAAAAATTCTTCGGACGGTCAACTGACCCACTTACCGTCATCGTATCGAGCTGAAACTTGTCACTTACACACGTCGCCGATAACCAAAAACAAAACAATCTATCAGATTTACAGCCCCTGCCTTTTTGATAACATTTGCAGTGCTATTGGGGGCAATCAACAAATTTTTTTTTTTTAGCAATTGAGAAACATTTTTTTGTCAAAGTTCAAGTGACAGTTGGGGGTTGGGGGGGTTTGGGGGGGTAGGGGGTTGGGGGTTGGGGGCGGGGCGAATATTAACTAATAATAACAAAAGCATTTTCATTTTTTTTTTATTGATGAAAACAAATAAATAAATTGAAACGTATATGGGTTACACTGTACAGCTTAATTACCAGCACATAAGTAAAGACGTATTTTTAACCGAGACAAACATTTTGCAATTAAAACAATTTTAAACCACAAAAACCATCTAAAACAGATCTCAAGGGTCGACGTCAGCCAGCAATGAACTCCTTTAGTGACAATAATTCGTGATCATTCAGATTTGGCAACTGCTGGGGTGGGGGAGGGGGTGAGGTGGGGGTGGAGCACTCTGGTAAATTCGTACAGACTTGGGGGGGGGACAAAACAGTTTGGGGGGGGGGGAACAAAACAGTTTTTATATCTTTCGGTCCTAACTTTGGAATAAAGAATTGGCCCTAATCGAGTTGAACTCAGGTCACTGTGCCCTGGAGTTTAAGAGAAAAACAAAACAACCGCATGTTGAATTTTATTTTTAAACTAATTTCAAGCATTTAACAACACAGAAACTTTAACTTTAGCTTTTCCCACTTTAAAATTTAAAAAAAAAAATACGTTACAATATGTCGTTTACAATAAATGTGGCATTTACAATAAATGTGTCATTTACAATAAATGTGTCAATGACAATAAATGTTTCATTTACAATAAATGCGTCATTTACAATAAATGTGGCATTTACAATAAATGTGTCATTTACAATAAATGTGTCATTGACAATAAATGTTTCATTTACAATAAATGCGTCATTTACAATAAATGTGGCATTTACAATAAATGTGTCATTTACAATAAATGTGTCATTGACAATAAATGTTTCATTTACAATAAATGCGTCATTTACAATAAATGTGTCATTGACAATAAATGTTTCATTTACAATAAATGCGTCATTTACACTATGTCGTTTACAATAAATGTGTCATTTACAATAAATGTGTCATTGACAATAAATGTTTCATTTACAATAAATGCGTCATTTACAATAAATGTGGCATTTACAATAAATGTGTCATTTACAATAAATGTGTCAATGACAATAAATGTTTCATTTACAATAAATGCGTCATTTACAATAAATGTGGCATTTTCAATGCATGTGTCATTGACAATACATGTGTCATTTACATATTTTTAAAAATGTAAAAATAAGTTTCACATAGCATGTTGTAGTACGACCCTCGAAGGTGGCGCTGGCCATAGAGTGAGATTTCAGCAGTTCAAAGCAGACCATAAAAACTATAAAGTCATGAATCAATTTGACGGTAACACAGCTGAATTATATGGTGATTAGTAGGTTTGATTACATGGTGTGTGTTGGTGGGTTGGGGGGGGGTTTGGGAAACCCAAGACATTAGGCCTGTTCTTTTGTAAACACAAGCGTCAGGTCAGGGCGACCTCTCTCGCGACGCCACGGCCTCCAGGTCTTGATACGGTCTCTGACGTCATGGAAGAGCAGCCAGGGGAAAAAGATCAGGATGACTTTGGTCCCGCTGATTATTACAAATACGACGTCCACTATGGAACTGTAAAAATAAAAAAAAGATTATTATCAGTCATGAGAGAGTTGTAATAGTTCAGTCATGAGAGAGCTGTAATAGTATCAGTCATGAGAGAGCTGTAATAGTTCAGTCATGAGAGAGCTGTAATAGTATCAGTCATGAGAGAGCTGTAATAGTTCAGTCATGACAGAGTTGTAATAGTTCAGTCATTAGAGAGTTGTAATAGTTCAGTCATGAGAGAGTTGTAATAGTTCAGTCATGAGAGAGCTGTAATAGTATCAGTCATGAAAGAGCTGCAATAGTATCAGTCATGAGAGAGTTGTAATAGTTCAGTCATGGAACGTAATGGACAAATGTTCAACCCTTAGAAGGGGGGTTAATTCTATAGGACAAAATTTTTTTATTTTTTTTCAATCTTCAATATTATCTTCTCTTTTATTCGTGTGTTTCCGGCTGGTAAAATCTTTTCGGACGCCTAAATGACCTACTTCCCGTCAAGCTATGGAGCTGAAACTTGGCATATAGACGCGTTGCCAATGAAAACACATTCTTTCAAACTTTCAGGCCCCCCCCTTCCCTTTTCCTTCCCCCAAAACTATTAATTCCCCAAAATTCGGGATTTCCTGTTTTTCAAGGTGAAGGTCAAGTAAATATGATGGCACTGGTATCACGAAATAAAATCTCGATTGCAGAGACTCTTAAAAAAAAAAATATATCGCAAGTGAGCTGGTGTGTAATACCTTCTTTGGTTTTCTCTGAAAGTTGTTGAAATAACTCTGGGTTTCAAAATCGGGTGGGACATTATGATATTAATCAAGTTCACGGGCGTGAAAAAAGATCGGTGGCGAGACCTGCACGTGGGGGGTGGGGGTGGGCATGGGGGAGGGGGGCACTGATTGGGATTCTTGTAAAGTGCATTACTTGAATGGATGTTGAATTTTCAGCCCCATTGCTTGGACGTCCCATTTTATAAAAGGATTTAATGGAAAAAGTTATGTTTTAAGGGTTTTGATGAATGAGGGATTGACCAATGAGCGTCATCGACGTGCCATCAATGACATCATTTCAACATGCCTCGAGAACCAGATGTATAGGTCAATGCTGTCCCAACCTCACATCCCCATACACATCACCAAAATATGCCTCCGTAACATATGGCTCCCTATAGTATGCCTCTCCAAGATACGCCTCCCTCATAAATGGCTCCCCAACATATGCCTTCGCAAAATATGCCTCCCCAACATAACCCTCCTTAACTCATGACTCCCCTACTCATGCCTCCCAAATATACGCATCCCTAACATATGCCTTCCCGAACATATGCCTCCCCAACATACGCTTCCTTAACACATGGCTCCTTTACATATGACTCCCCAACATATATATTTCTTTATTTACACAAATTGTCTCATTAATCATTCTGCTGACACGCGTTTTGTATTACAGTCACCTAGACTCGTCTACTACTCCCTTTCCCCCTCTCTCTCTCTTTTCTTCTCTCTCGTATCTTTTTCTATCTCTTTAATGAGTATTTTACAGTTCTTTAAACATCAACAGAGCGCTATAATGGGGCGCACTCTTGTTAAGATCCAATCACGTACCTTATCCAATAATCATTTAGAATAATCAACACAAATGAGAGGGTGAATCCCATCTCACACACTCCCACCACCGACACCGCCGCTGCGTAAGGGTGCCAGCTGTCCACATCCGGTCCTCGCTCTATCAACTCGACCTGCGCCCCACGGACAGCGATTCCTCCAGACAGCCGGCGCCGTCTGAACACGACAGCGGTCACAAGAAGGCCCAGGGCCAAAAGCAGAGGGATGGCGTTGTCCAGCGACTTGAAAATAAAGTATCCGCGGTGTGCACTTATGTAGCAATATGCGTCAAATTTTATCATGGACTGGGAAAAAATGAGCGGTGGGAAAATGAGGCAAGCGAGTATCCAAGGCGAGGCCAACAGGGCGGAGGCGGCCACCACAGGTTTGTTCAAGATGGCGAATGCCGCGCGGCAAGCCGGAAGGGCAGCAGGCAGGCGTGCTTGAGGCCTGTAATCGCAGACGTGGGCCAGGTAAACCGCAACAAAAATGACCAAAGTCCAGTTGGTGATGAAATCTTGCATTAAGAACGTATGAATGATTGCGGAAATGTGATGGCAGCTAATTGAGTGGCTATTAAAGTATCTGGAGATAACGTCTATATTCAGCGGAAGTTGTATCAAGGACTCCAAAAGATGCTGGATGCAGAAGCTGGCAATGAGCTTGTTGCGCATGCGACAGCGCATGTCCGGCGACGTGGCGATAACCAGTAGCATCCACGCGTTGAGAGCGAGGCCCAACGTTAGCATGATGCATTCCATGACAAATTCAGCCCTTAAACATTTTAAATATAATTCATAGAGAGCGTCAGCACGATCGTCTTGGAGGTATCCGTGCGTAGTGTTGAATGTCTGATCCATGTCTAGTTGCCGATTGGTCTTAACATAAAAACATGTTCATCAATGTTTTTCAACTTAGATTGTTCTGTAACCTGTTGGGGCAGGTAGTTGATGAATTCAATAACCTGAGGAAGAGCAAATTGAAAAAAAAAAAAAATTGAAATTTTTTTTTCTCTGTCACCGCTTGGAACTGTCAAAGACTATGTAGATATAAATGACAGTTCACCTTCATTGTATGTGTACATATAACTCATAGTAAATCTTCATTATATGTATACATATTATTTAAAGTGCACCATCACTGTATGTGTTGCATACAAATTACAGTGCACCTCCTTTGTATTGGCGGCTTGAAGAATGCTTGCAGGAAACGAATAGTTTTGTTGTTGTATATTATTCTTTTTTTAAAATCTGATGTGTATAATTTTTAATATATATATTATAATGATTTATCCCTATTGAGGTTGGATTCTAGTCCACATGTACACCATAATCACAAGTTGAAACAATGCTCCACGAGATCGTCTTAACCAACTGGAACTAACCAAACCTATTTAAATAAAATCGATTTTAGACACTAATCTGTATACATTGCTAAGAAAGGCAGATTTCAATTACTATTCAAATATATATATGTGTTTCTAAAACTTAAGAAATAAATACACATCTACTTTAAACAGTAAATCAAATTATTTGATTTGTTGCAAATTAAAATGTAACTAAGTTAAATAGTCTTATAAAGCTTTACCAAGACATAGAAAATTGAGATGTCAACAAAATCGTCTAACCTAAACATCGCAGGCTCTATTCAATTTTTTTTTTACAAATAATATATATTTAAAAGTTATTTAAGTTCAATCTCAAGACAGACAAGACAGACAAGACACTTACTTTCAGGGACAAATCCAAGTATGTCTCAAGAATATTGTCTCTGAGCGTCGACCACGTAATCGGAATTGAAAAATTTAAAAGTATTTGACTTTTAAAGCTGTAATCGAAGTATAACTGACTTATCCGATTGTTTGCCGTAGATTGAAAACAATTTCTTATAAAAAAAAGACAATTAGACGTCGTTATAACAAACAAATATCATATAATGTTATTTTCCGGATGCTGAATGGAATAACTGGAGTCGAAGGTTGACCAAAACCTTGTAGCCTTTACAACGCAGGTTCAGTGGGCGTGTCTCAAGATGGCGACCTAAGCTACAGAGCAACAACAACAACAAAAGCGAAAATTAAATAAGTGAACTCTGTCCAAGTCTGTTATGCTCCATGCTCGCGACGAGATAGGTTGGTAACTGTTATCTTAAAACTGCAAAGTCTCGAACGGTTCTCAAACTTATGGTACCGCTTCTCCTTTGTTGCATTCTCCATGTTTTAGCGTCTAGGATTATTTCTAGAAAACGGATAAGGTGCTTTAATCTATAAGGGGGGAATCTATAAGCTGTATCTGATTTAAGAATATTTAATGATTTTTGTAGGATGTGATTTGTCGAACAATGATTTTTATTTTTTTAATGAAACATAATCACTAAACAACAAACAAAGTTTAACATTATTATTGTATTATTATTATTATTTTATTGTTATTATATTTATTATTGTCGAGAAGCGTTTCTTCTGTATGGCAAAGTCTTTCACTTCATTCCGTTCGGCAGTACATCATACAGCAACAGTTACCAATGCAACAACAAAAGTTTATTTAACCACAATTCACAAACCCAGGTTGATACCTAATGTCGAAGCAACAATCGAATCCTTTCAGCACAACTCTTACTTTAATTAACCGCAATTCCCAAACTATGTTTGATACTTAATTTCTCAGCACAACACTTAGCAGTATTCAATTCACAACAGTCAATGTAGCACATCCACCATCTCTCTTCTCTAACAACAGCACTAAAACTAACGCGTCACTTCCCATTACACAATTACGTCACAACACTCTCACACAAACGATACGGCTGCACATAAAATCTCTAACTAACATCTTTTCCCTATCAAACATGACAACGACGCTCTACACATAGCAACAGTGATTCTTATACCCTCGACAATTATCATTATTATTAGTATCATCATTATTATTATGATTATTATTGTTATTATTATCATCAATATTATTTTATTATTAATATTATTATTACTATCATTTTTATCATTATCATCATCACCATCATTATTATTATCATCATTATTATTATTATATCATTCTTCTTCTTATTCTTCATATTATTTTATTATAACTATTTTAACGATTCTTTTAAACAAAAAGATAAGATGTTAACTAAATATACGTATATTGTACAATAAATATTTAACGTTAACAAATGTCTCTGGGCGCTGCCAACTTAAGAGTTTAATGGAGCTTAACACAACTCCGGGAATATGATGATTTCAGGAGGAAAATACATATTCAACATTGCTCTAAATATAATGTTACCTACAAATTAATGGATATTAATAAGCTTAAATTGTAAAAGTTAATTTGCTGCTGACATCTTCCAAAAGTTATTTTTATGTAGCCTGTATTGTAGTTACGATGTAGCGACAGAATAAAAGGTAGGTAGCACGATGACTGAAATTTATATTTACAATTTTTAGAAGTAAGAGGTGTTAAAATTAAGTTAGAACATTTTAATTTTAAAAAAAAATAATTAAATCGAGGATTTTTGTTGTTATTTAATGTTGAGGAAGACTCTTAGCCGAAACGTTCCACTTTTATTGTCCTGTCTTTCTATTTAAAGGTTCCACATACATTGGTGCACTAATCTTTCAAATATCCCCAGGCTACTCACGAGAGTATCGTGACGCCACTGAATGAGAACCGCTGGTGTAGTCTGACCTGCGCTGTCTTTGACCGGAGTCTGGCCTGGAGTCTGACCTGCGCTGTCTTTGACCGGAGTCTGGCCTGGAGTCTGACCTGCGCTGTCTTTGACCGGAGTCTGGCCTGGAGTCTGACCTGCGCTGTCTTTGACCGGAGTCAGGCCTGGAGTCTGCCCTGCGCTGTCTTTGAGCGGAGTCTGGCCTGGAGTCTGACGTGCGCTGTGTTCTACGGGAGGCTTACCAGCGCCCTCTTTTACCGGAGTCAGACCTGGAGTCTGACCTGCGTTGTCTTTGATGGGAGTCTGACCTGGGGGTCTCAACTATTAGCTACAACTCAGGCAATGAAGGTTGACAATTTAAAAAAAATACTAATAATGTGGGAGAGGGGTGACCTGTTACATTTTTTAGTATTGTCTGCATATGCCAGGTACTTTATGGACAGGACACCTTGAGAGGATACCGGATTGTAGAGCATCAAAAGTGGTCTACAGGCAGAAACCCAAGGGGGATGCGACTGACCGGTCGACCAATTCTGAGATGGATCGACGATGCAGAGAAGGACTAACAACAGTTGCGTTTAGAGACCTACCGAATTTCGGCTTCGGCGCCGAAAGTTGACATTCGATCACTTTCGGCCAAGTTTCAGTTTTGGCCGAAACTGAAAAATTAACATTCGGCTTACTTTCTGTTTCGGTCAAAACAGAAAAGTTAACTTTCGGTTTAATTTTGGTTTCTGCCGAAAGTCTCAATCACTAAAGTGGCCAGAGGCGTAGCGAGGGTGTTTCGTGCCCGGGGACAAGTTTCGCGCCCGGGGACAAGATCCATTTTAAAGCGCCCCCTTTTTATTTGTTTCAACTGTCAAACCCATTATTTTTACCAATAAAATAATATCAAAGCACATTTTGGCGCCCCTAACAAGCTGGCGTCCCTGGGACATCTGTCCCCCCCCCTGCCCCACCCCCTCGCTACGCCTCTGAAAATGACTCAGGTTTTCGGTCATCTACCAGAAGTCAGAAGTCTATCTGTCTCGAGGCCAACAATCCGATATTCATTATTGCTCGACGTCTTGCTGTCATCGTATGTTATAATGTAAACAGTTTTTGAAAAAAAAAAAAAAAAAATTAATTTCTAAAATAAACTTTGGAACTCTACGTTTATTCAATTAGAAGTCAAAAGTCTATCTGTTTCGAGGCCAACAATCCGATATTCATTATTGCTCGACGTCTTTCTGTCATCGTATGTTATAATGTAAACAGTTTTTGAAAAAAAAAAAAAAAAAATTAATTTCTAAAATAAACTTTGGAACTCTACGTTTATTCAATTCCTTCATTTGTGAAATTTATTTAGATTTATTATTATCATGCTCATCAATGTTGTCATAGGCAAAGGTAAACAATATTACATAATCCGAGGATATGGTAATATTTCTATTATTATTTATTGTTATATTTTTAAAAGAAATAATATTCCGACCAATGGGGGTCAGGGACGTTGGCCTCCGAACGAAATAATGACGTCACCAGCACAAAAAGACTATAGTGTGTACATATTATGCTCAATATTAATACAGTGATATCTTGCAAGCTATTAAAGAAAACACAAAGCATTAGTATGATGACAACAGCGAAACATTGTGGTGATATTTTTAATGCCTTAATAACTTATATTTAGGTGGCAATTGGCTCTATTAGAGCCACAATAATATTGCAGGTATATGTTCTGGGTTGTAATTATATTATAAAAGCAAAGGGCACTCAAGGGTCTATTTTGCATTAATTCCTCCCCCCCCCCCATCCACATTTTTTTCCAAATTTTCTCCTACCGCACTAGTTTAAAAACAATTAAAATTACTTTTAAAGGGAAATGGTAAAAGCCAAAGTATTCATTAGTTCAAGGATCTCAAACTAAAATCATGAGGGGGGCCGCAGGAGGTAGAGTCTGATTGAGACTGGACCGCGAAAAAGCGATTACAAATTCGTTAAAGTACAGCTGTTTCAATCTGCTCTACCTTCATAAATAACAAATAAAAACCTTAAGTGTTCTCAAGAACTAGTCTTCACTTTCTTCGACCTACTCACTGTTGCCAGAGACCTGGCAGCGCTTCTTTTAACACAGCTGAGCAACTTTGGCTTGAGTGAGGAGGCAACTGAGACCCTCAGTATAGCTTGAAGATCCTCATCAGTAAGTTTGGCCCTGAACTTTGAATTGTTAAAGTGCAAAGAGGAAAAGAGCTTTTCACACAGATAGGTACTCCCAAAAGAGTCATATGATCCGCATGAACAACTTGGAAATCACAGGGAAGGAGGAGGGCAATGCAATAAAATGTCCATGATTGTCTGTTTTATCATTCAGCTAGCTGCGCGGGGCATCAAGCACATTAAAAGAGGAAGGGTCAGCGAAAAGCTGAAAAGCGTCAGTCTGTGTTTGAAATCTAATAATTGGGATGAAATTCTTTCTGTAACTTTACAATGGCATGTTGTGTAGGCTGCTGGTGATGTTTGGTGTAGGCTGCTGGTGATGTTTGGTGTAGGCTGCTGGTGATGTTTGGTGTATGCTGCTGGTGATGTTTTGTGTAGGCTGCTGGTGATGTTTGGTGTAGGCTGATGGTGATGTTTGGTGTATGCTGCTGGTGATGTTTGATGTAGGCTGCTGGTGATGTTTTGTCTAGGCTGCTGGTGATGTTTGTTGTAGGCTGCTGGTGATGTTTGATGTAGGCTGCTGGTGATGTTTTGGGTAGGCTGCTGGTGATGTTTGGTGTAGGCTGCTGGTGATGTTTGGTGTAGGCTGCTGGTGATGTTTGGTGTAGGCTGCTGGTGATGTTTGGTGTAGGCTGCTGGTGATGTTTGGTGTAGGCTGCTGGTGATGTTTTGTGTAGGCTGCTGGTGATGTTTTGTGTAGGCGGGTGGTGATGTTTGATGTAGGCTGCTGGTGATGTTTTTGGCTGTTTAGGCTTTGGATTAAACTCTTAGAGGACAATCTTTTTGGATGGACTCAGTTTAGAGCGCTGAGCCACCCACGCGGCCACCCATTCCGCCACCCACTCGGCCACTTGGCCACCCATTCGGCCACCCACTTCGCCACACACTCGGCCACACACTCGGCCATCCAATCGGCCAATCACTTGGCCACCCACTTGGCCACCCACTCAGCCACCCACTAAGCCACCCAGTTGGCCACCCAGTCAGCCACCCAGATGGCCGACCCACTTCGCCAAACACTCGGCCACCCACTTGGCTACCCGCTCGGCCGCCCATACGGCAAAAAACTTGGCCACTCACTCAGCCACCAATTTGGCCACTTGGCCACCCACTCTACAATCCATATGGCCAGCCACTCGGCCACCCACTCGGCCACCCAAGCGGCCACCCACTCGCCACCCACTCGGCCACCCACGCGGCCACCCACTTGAGCAACCACTCGGCCACCCAATTGGCCACCTACTCGGTAACTCACTAAGCCACACACTCGTCCACCCATACGGCCACCCACGGGAGCAGCCATGCTGTTTGTTTTCTAAGGTGTCAACCAACCCGGAACCAGAGGAATGAGAGGGTGCCTGTCCTTGAAGTTTCAGCACCCCCGTATACCATGGTTATAAGACGACCCCCGGCGTATAAATCGACCCCCGGCGTATAAATCGACCGACCCCCGGCGCATAAGACGACCCCGGACGTATAAGACGATGACGTCGTATAAGACGACCCCTGGCGTATAAGGCGACCCCCGGCGTATAAGACGATCCCAGGCGTATAAGACGAGCCCCGGCCTATAAAGACGACCCCCAGCGCATAAGACGATCGCCGGCGTATAAGACGACCCCCGGCCTATAAGACGACCCCCAGCGTATAAGATGACCCCCGGCGCATAACAAGTATAAGATGTCCCCCGGCCTATAAGACGACCCCCGGCCTATAAGATGACCCCCTACGCATAAGACGACCCCCCGGCGCATAAGGCGACCCCCGACTTTTGAAAAGATTTTCAAGGGTTAAAAAGTCGTTTTATGCGCCTGAAAAAATACGGTAACTGTCTGTTATTTTATTTTCACCTCTTAACATATCTTTATCCACTAATTTTTGTTTATTACATTCAACCCAGTTCCAAAAATTTTCCGTCGAGATGACAGGTGTCTTAAGATTTAGTTGAAGATTCAAAATTTTTATGTTAATATCTTCGATATCTAATTATACAAACTCTTACGCAAGTTGCTTGCTTCGTTATAAATAAACACAATTGTCAAAAATTGTGTTGTAATGTTCTTGAATCAACCTTGTTGGCTGATTCTATAAAACGAAACTCATACTTACTTATACTGATAGTAATCAAATTAATATTAATTATTAACATAAAGCAGTCAAGACTTGATTTAAATGATACATGTGTTGTTTCTTTTCTTTTTTTTTAAACAATCTTTAAGTAACATCGGTTATTTCCGTGCATCGGGGACGACGTCTTCTTTTGCTGATCCGGTTCCCGTCATCTTATCGAGCTGAAACTTGGCACGTTGCCGATGACGACTCAAGCTGTCAAATTTGTAGCAGCCTCTACCTCTTGATGACATTTGAAATGTTATGGGGACCAATCAGCAAGTGTTTTTTTTTATGCAATTGAGAAATATGTGTTTTTTAAATTTGTATTTAAGGTGGCAAGGGGTAAGGTGGGGTTGGGGCGGTGTGTGGTTGGGATGGTGTATGGTTGGGGTGGTGTGTGGTTGGGGTGTTTGCCGTTAGAGCAGTGTGTGGTTTAGGGCGGTGTGTGGTTGGGGTTGTGTGGTTGGGGCAGTGTGTGGTTGGGGTGGTGTGGTTGGGGCGGTGTGTGGGTGGGGTGGGGTGGGGTTGGGGAGGCGGTGTGTGGTTGGGGCAGTGTGTGTTTTAGGGCGGTGTGTGGTTTGGGTGGCGTGGGGTTGGGGTTGTGTGGTTGGGGTGGTGTGGGGTTGGGGTGGTGTGGGGTTGGGGTGGTGATTTGTTGGGGTGGTGTGTGGTTGGGGTGGTGTGTGGTTGGGGCAGTGTGTGGTTGGGGTGGTTGGATCAATATTGACTAATAATAACTTAGCATTTTTTAGAGTTTTTTTATCGATGAAAAAAAAGAATTAATAATACTCGTAATAATAATAAAGAGATGGTTAAGTATACAGTTTACATTGTTTATATTCATTTTCAGCACATAAATAAACACATATTTTAACCAAGAACACATTTTACAGCTGTAACAATTTAAACACAAGACATCTCTCAAGTATTTCTCTATCGTAGAAGTCAGGCGGTCACTGAACTCCCTTAGTGACAAAAAATGACTTAGTTAATCCTTATTTAGATTTGGTAAGCGGGGGTGGGGGGTGGGGGGTGGGGGTGGGGGGGGAGCACGCTGGTAAATTCGTGCACACTGGGGAACAAAATAATTTTCATTTCTTCGGTTCCAACATTAAGAGACGGAATTCGCCCTCCCAGGGTTGATCATTCATACGTCTTGACTTGAAGTTTTTTTTAAGACAAGGAACCATCTTCCATGTTATTTTTTTAATGAATTAAAGTTTAACCATTTCAAAGCACATAAATTTTAACTTGTTTTTTTTTTAACGTTTAAATGACGCCCCCGCCACCCCGCCCCCCCCCCAAATAAATAAATAAAATAAATGCAATTGATCTTTACAACGTGTCATTTACAATAACTGTGTGATTTACAATAATTATGTCATTTACAATAAATATGGCATTTAAAATTAATGTGCCATTTAAAAATAAAGGTGTCATTTTACAATGAATGTGTCATTTACAATAAAATTTGTCATTGACATATTTTTTTGATTAATATATAAATAAAAACAAATAAGATTCACAGAGCATGTTGTAGGGCGTGGGACGACTCCCCGAGGGTGTCACCACCCAACAGATTGAGAGTTCAGCAGTTAAAAAGCAAACCAAGTAAATGGATTAATTTGCCGGTTACACAGCTAAAGTATATGGTGATTAGTAGGTGTGATAACATGGTGTTTGGGTGTGTGTGGGGGGGGGCGGGGGGTAACACAAAACATTAGGACTGTTCTTTTGTAAACACCAGCGTCAGGTCAGGGCGACCTCTCTCGCGACGCCACGGCCTCCAGGTCTTGATACGGTCTCTGACGTCAGGGAAGAGCAGCCAGGGGAAAAACATCATGATGACTTTGGTCCAGTTGATTATTATAAATACAACGTCAATTGTTAATCTGTATAAAAAAACAACAAATAAATTATGATCGGTCATGAGAGAGTTGTAATAGTTCAGTCATGAGAGAGTTGTCATAGTTCAGTCATGAGAGAGCTGTAATAGTTCAGCCATGAGAGAGTTGTAATAGTTCAGTCATGAGAGAGTTGTAATAGTTCAGCCATGAGAGAGTTGTAATAGTTCAGTCATGAGAGAGTTGTAATAGTTCAGCCATGAGAGAGTTGTAATAGTTCAGTCATGAGAGAGTTGTAATAGTTCAGCCATGAGAGAGTTGTAATAGTTCAGCCATGAGAGAGTTGTAATAGTTCAGCCATGAGAGAGTTGTAATAGTTCAGCCATGAGAGAGTTGTAATAGTTCAGTCATGAGAGAGTTGTAATAGTTCAGCCATGAGAGAGTTGTAATAGTTCAGCCATGAGAGAGTTGTAATAGTTCAGTCATGAGAGAGTTGTAATAGTTCAGCCATGAGAGAGTTTTAATAGTTCAGCCATGAGAGAGTTGTAATAGTTCAGCCATGAGAGAGTTGTAATAGTTCAGTCATGAGAGAGTTGTAATAGTTCAGCCATGAGAGAGTTTTAATAGTTCAGTCATGAGAGAGTTGTAATAGTTCAGCCATGAGAGAGTTGTAATAGTTCATTCATAAGAGAGTTGTAATAGTTCAGTCATGAGAGAGTTGTAATAGTTCAGCCATGAGAGAGTTGTAATAGTTCAGCCATGAGAGAGTTGTAATAGTTCAGCCATGAGAGAGTTGTAATAGTTCAGCCATGAGAGAGTTTTAATAGTTCAGTCATGAGAGAGTTGTAATAGTTCAGCCATGAGAGAGTTGTAATAGTTCAGTCATGAGAGAGTTGCAATATTTCAGCCATGAGAGAGTTGTAATAGTTCAGCCATGAGAGAGTTGTAATAGTTCAGCCATGAGAGAGTTGTAATAGTTCAGTCGTGCCACGTAATAGATAAATGTTCAACACTTAGAAGGGGGGTTAATCCTATATGAGAGAATTTTTTTTTTTTCATCTTCAATATTATCTTCTCTTTTATTCGTGTGCTTCTTCTGGCTGGTAAAATCTTCGGACGGCTAAAATGACCTACTTCCCGACAACCTATCGAGCTGAAACTCGGCATATAGACTCGTTGCCAATGATAACACGTTCTTTCAAATTTTCAGCACCCCCCTCCTTTCCTTCCCCCAAAACTAAAAAGTCCCCAAAATTCATTCGGGTTTTCCAGATTTTCAAGGTGAAGACAGAGGAAATATGATGGCACTGGTTTCACGAAATAAAATAGAGATTCTTTTTACAAAAAAAATAAAACAATCTGAAGTGCGTTTGGTGCACTTTCTTTCGTTTTACTGAAAGTTTTTGAAATAGATCTGCGTTTCAAAACCGGATAGACTATTATCCTATTAATATAGTTCAGGGGCTTGAAAAATGATCGGTGGCGAGACTTGCGCGTGCGGGGGGGGGGGGAAGGGGGGGGGGGGGGGGGGGGGGGGGGGGGGGGGGAGCACTCAATTGGGATTCTTGTTAAAGTGCATTACTTGAATGTATGTCGAATTTTCAGCCCCATTGCTCGACGTCCCATTTTATTAAAGGATTGAATGGAAATGCTGTGTTTTAAAGGGTTGTTAAACGATGTATGGAGGTTTGGCAAATGAGCGTCATAGAAGTGCCGTCAATGGCAACAGTTCCGACACGCCTTGAAAAAACAAATTTATAGGTCAGTGCTGTCCCAGGCCCACATCCACCATATGCATCACCAAAATGTGCCCACCTATCATACGGCTCCTTGAAATATCCCATCCCCAGCATACGCCTCCCTTACATATGGCCCCTTAACATATGCCTTCCCAATATATGCCTCCCCAACATACGCCCCCCTAACGTATGGCTCCCTAACATAATACGCCTCCTAATACATAGCTCCCTTACATATGCCTCCCCAACATACGCCCCCCTAACATAGGGCTCCCTAACAATTTGCTCCCTACATATGCCTCCCCAACATATGCCTCCCCTACATATGCCTCCCCAACATACGCTTCCTTAACATATGGCTCCTTTACATATGACTCCCCAACATATATATTTGTTTATTTACACAAATTGTCTCATTAATCATTCTTCTGACACGCGTTTTGTATTACAGTCATCTAGACTCGTCTATTACTCCCTTTCCCTCCCTCTCTCTCTCTCTCTCTCTCTCTTTTCTTCTCTCTCGTATCATTTTCTATCTCTTTAATGAGTATTTTACAGTTCTTTAAACATCAACAGAGCGCTATAAAGGGACCCACTCTTGTTAAGAACCAATCACCTACTTTATCCAGACATCGAGAATAGTACTCCACCAAAATGAGAGGGTGAATCCCACTTCACACACTCCCACCACCGACACCGCCGCTGCGTAAGGGTGCCAGCTGTCCACATCCGGTCCTCGCTCTATCAACTCGACCTGCGCCCCACGGACAGCGATTCCTCCAGACAGCCGGCGTCGTCTGAACACCGCAGCGGTCACAAGAAGGCCCAGGGCCAAAAGCAGAGGGATCGCGTTGTCAAGCGACTTGAAAATAAAGTATCCGCGGTATGTCTCTACGTAGCAATCTCCGTAAGATACGAGTTTTACCATGGACTGGGAAAAAATAAGCGGTGGGAAAATGAGGCAAGCGAGTATCCAAGGCGAGGCCAACAGGGCGGAGGAGGCCACCACAGGTTTGTTCAAGATGGCGAATGCCGCGCGGCAAGCCGGAAGGGCAGCAGGCAGGCGTGCTTGAGGCCTGTAATCGCAGACGTGGGCCATGTAAACCGCAACAAAAATGACCAAAGTCCAGTTGGAGATGAAATCTTGCATTAAGTATGTATGAAAGATTGCGGAAATGTGATGGCAGCTAACCGACTGTCCGTTAAGGAATCTGGAGATACCGTCTATATTCATCGGTAGTTGT